GAACGAAATTCACATGACACATGGGATTGGGAATCAACATCTTCCATTATAAACAAACTAAAATATGCAAAATGACGCGGATTGGCATCATGTTAATTAGACATACTAAATTGTCTAATTCGCCAACATATAATACAAACCAAACTCCCTAATTAATGGTCTAATCCATCCCCACCATATTTCATCTTCATTGTTTGGTGGTTAGTTAGAGCAAACAAGATTGGTTTAATAAAATAACTACTTAATTAGCATCATACACTAATGGTGCGATAAGCATTAGTACGAGTGTCGATATTGTGTTGTCCTCTTCCTCCCAAGCTATGAAGCTTCTTCATCTCCTTTATGGCTGGATCTTCTAATAATAGCACTTTGTCTTTGTCTCTTACTCCAACCATGTGCAAGTACTCCTCATCTTCCCTTTCTTTTCCTTTGAACAATAGCCTTTGTTCCCTTGGTTCCAAACTTGTTACTAATGCCAATATCATCTTCAACTCCCCTAAAATTAATCAAAAAATAGAATAAATCAATCACCTAATATAATCGTAAAATAGAGATCTAACTTGTTTATCAACATTAAGAGCTTAATCGAGTTGATAATGCATTTACTGAAATTAAGAAAGAAAGAAATGTCAAGCTTACCAAAGGTGGAAGTTGCTTCAACGGAAACATCATGCCATTGAGAAACAGTGGAGACTCTCACAGTAATCATCCCTTCACCATTACTACCACTTTCCCTCTTCTGAACAAGCATGCCACCAGGCCTTACCTCCCATTTAATTTCATTGCTAACTCCTTCTCCACATCCCTTTTGACTATCACCACCAGGTCCAGCACCACCCCCTTTACTGCTGCCGCCGCCGCCGCCGCCGCCGCCACCGCAAAACTTAAAACTGCCTCTGCAGAACCTTCTTGAGCCGAACTTGATCATCTTTTAATTCTTGAGCTCTTTCTTTGTTAGTTGGGGAAGAGGAAGTTATGGGGTTGAGTAATTATATAAGGGGAAGGGGATGCCAAGGACAAAAGAAGGTATGAATAAAATAAAAAGCAGATGGTGAAGTGAAAGACAAATGAGATGGTGACGGATGGAGGGTGGGGATGGGCATGGGAGTGTTGTGCTGATTTTTGGGAAGACCATGGCACATGGGGTGGGGAGGGGGGGAGAGGGGGAGCACGCTTACTTGATTAACGGGCCAAACCCAATCAAAACACGTTGGTCGGTTGATGCTTTCGAAATTTTGGGGAATTGTTTTTGATATACTTCTTTTTATGGGGTCTAAGATAATGGTGCCAAGACTTAGGCTTAGGAAATGGTCATTTTAAGACCTCGTTTGGGTCTTTTGCTCTCTTTAAATCTAGTTTCATGCATTCCGCTAAGTATATCTTATAAAATTTTGAAATTTTATATTAAAAAATTGAAGATTATATCTTAAGATAACAATAAAAATAGATATTCTGTTTGTCTAAATTAAAAAAAAATGTTTTAATATAAATTATTTAGCAAAAGCGACTTTAATTAATGTCAAAAATAACTTTGTGTTAAAGTATTAAACCTTTGTATTCATCAATGACCAAGAAAAAGGGAGGACACAAAGGCGTGCAGTGGGTTGTTTTCTCTTTTCCAAACATGCCCTACAAAAATATGTTATCCCGCCAAAATTGAGGTCAATATATATGTATATATATATATATATAAAGCCTCTTTTACATTTGATTAAACAAAGGATCAAAGGCATTTTGTCTTGATTAGGAAACTACTTGATTTATTAGTTAGGTTTAGTTAGGTGGTTGTGTTGGTCCTTGAGTTGTCTCTTGGGGTTTACCTTTTGCATTTGGTGGTTAGATTTTGGCTTTGGTTTCACCCGTTTCTTTCCCATGGCCTATCATCAACCCATGTGAGATAGAAGAAAACACTTCAACTATATAACTTAAATATTAATTCCACCTAACCAAGGGATAATAGATAGTCCAACTTAGCTACAAAATTCAATATAATGATCCTATAAGATACCTTCTAAAAGAAATTTTTTGATTCCTTCCTTGGTGATCTTTGTTTTCTTTCTTTTACTTTAAACATTTAAAAAGTTAAAAGAAAAAAATTTTAATTCAATTACCGACATTCTTATTTGAACTCACACAACATATTATATAAGAACTATATAAAAACCACTTCAATTTATCAATTTTACAATTTTGAAACTGCAAATGTATGAAATTTGACTATTTTTTTATCCCATACTTTGGAGTTTGAGTTTCAACCTATAGATTGCAAATTTTAAGTAAAATCGTTAATTAACAAGACACTCATATTTTAAGAGTTGTAAAGAAAAGAATTAGTTTATAATAAGAAGGATAAATGGCATCCCACATGTTGTATAGAAGAGAGACATGGTGAGCAAAAAGTGGCAATCTCCATGAGGATGCAGGCTAAACTGCAAGTGTGGGATGGGGGCCATATGTTGGAAAGGACACACATTCCTGATTTTCTGTTCTTCAATTTTGCTCCTGCCAACATGCATCAATGTCCTAGGTATGGGCCAATAGTTAAAAAAAATAAAATAAAAATTGAACCAATATCTCACACAAAAAATTGTAAACAAAAAATGTTAATAATTAGTGTTTAATACTCGCATCAAGAAAGGCATGCAGATACAAATCTCCAGGATACTTTGAGGTCTTCTAAGTGATTTGCATGCTAATTGTCATTTCCCTCTAAAGATATTGCTGAAGATTTTATGCCCTTCGATGCAATATTATGATTCTCTTCAATATTTTTCTTCGATTTCCTTTGATGTTTGTCTCACTAACAGACAGAAGCACTAGTACCTTCATCTTAATCAGTAGACCCATTTTTATATTTCTTTAATAATTAAA